CTTGGGGTGCAGTACTACGATGCAGCTGGGGTCACTCAAACCCCCAGAACTAAACCTCTACTGTAGTCAATCCTCCTTGAGCTGATCGCTGAGACGTATTTCGATTTATTTTTATCATTTTTTTTATTAACGATTATGATCATCAATAAAATCGATAGAGACGAGGATTGAAGGAAATTTGGAGATCATGGCGACGATGTCAACGTCGACAGGAAATATTTCAAAAAGGTGAATAAAATAATCCAAATAAAACAAAAATAATTGTATATTGAAATACAATTATAGAAGCATTATTTATTAAATCACTGGTACAATTTATTGTTCATAAAAACGAATAAATTCTATAAAAAAAACATTTCCCCTTCTCCAAGAATTTCCGCTAACTGTTTATTCAAATCTCATAATATTTAAATTTCATCTCAATAAAAATTAAATTAAAAGATCTCCATTAATTTTTTCTTTTCAATTCGAAAAATGATGCAACGTGTCACTATTTTTAAATATACATTAGCATACATATAAATAAATACCTAATTGTTTAAACATCTCTACGTGAATGCCCAGAAAGAAAAAATAGAATTTTCCCAGAAATAAATAAAAATAATCAAATAAATTAATCCTGATCAGGTACTCGATGCCAAGTGCTCGTCAAGGAAGTGTCTACGACCTGGACATCGACATGTTCCTGAAGATCTCCAACTACGAGGACACAGTGCGCCAGCTAGACGTTTACTATGGAATAGTAAAACGTCAACTCCTGAATTACCAGAGCTGCATCAACGGTTTATTCCCGGTGACATCGACAGACAAAAAAATAGGGAGTGTAAAAGACAGTATTTACTGTGCCTCAGCAATCTGGAGTCTCTACCAGGCATACAGAAGAATCGACGATGACAGAGGAAAGTCCCACGAGTTGGGACAATCAGCAGTAAAATGCATGAGAGGCATCCTGGAGTGCTGGATACGTCAATCAGACAGAATCGAAAAATTCAAGACAAATCAGTGCAACCGTTTCTCCCTCCACTGCAAATTCGACCTGAACACGGGTGACGAAATCTTCGAGGACACCGATTACTTCCACCTCCAGATAGACGTCGTCTCCCTGTACCTGATATTCCTGGTGCAGATGATATCGTCGGGTCTCCAGATAATCTACACCCAGGACGAAGTGGCATTCATCCAGAATCTAGTCTACTACGTGGAGAGGGCGTACAGAACTCCAGACTACGGTATGTGGGAGAGAGGTAGCAGATACAACGATGGAACACCAGAGATTCACGCTAGCTCCATAGGCATGGCGAAGAGCGCCCTGGAGGCGATTAATGGTTGCAATTTATTCGGTGAAAAGGGTGCATCGTGGTCAGTCGTCTACGTGGACATCGATGCGCACAACAGAAACCGAAGTATCTTCGAGACAATGCTCCCAAGGGAATCATCCTCGAAGAGCGTTGACTCAGCACTTCTGCCTACCATCTCGTTTCCAGCATTCGCCACCCACGAGGAATACCTCTACAACGAGACAAAATCTAATGTCGTAAGAAAATTGAAGGGCTCGTACGGATTCAAAAGATTCGGAAGGGACGGCTACAAGACCGTCATCGAGGATCCCGAGAGGAGATTCTACAGGACTGGAGAAATCCGGGACTTCGATAAGATCGAGTGCGAGTGGCCCCTCTTTTATATTTTTATGATCATCGATGGGGTCTTCAAGTCCATTCCTGAACAGGTAGAGGAGTACCAGAATCTCCTGAAGCCTAGGATCCATAAAGATCTCAATGGGGATCCAATTATTCCCATGTATTATTACGTACCTGAGAAGAATATCGACAGCGAGAGGAATGAACCATCTAGTACCTTCAGGCTTGCGAGTCTCGTCGGTAGTGGGAATCGAATCGCTGGGGATGAGGAGGGAAATGGAATTTATCTCTGGAATCAATCGATGTTCGTTATTGCACAGCTGTTGACTGCTGGACTCCTCCACATCAACGAGCTGGATCCCATCCGGAGGTACCTGCCATCCTACAATCGACCTCGACGAGCTGGGAGGTATTCAGCCTTTCAGGTGAATCCCCAGATTTTTTTTT